TCTCTTTTGCGTCCACATACATGGCGCCCATGCTCTGGCCCGTGCCCAAGCAACACCTCACCCTGCATGGCCATTGCTCCAATCCCAATCGTGGGCGGTGCTGCACCTCAGACGAAATCGGCCATGCACAGTGGCGAGTTCAAGAACTGCCTGTGTGACAGCGAGGTGCGCTCATGGTGGTCGGCGTATTGCTATTGTGTGTGTGCACGGCTAGCTCTTTCAAGCTGCCACCAAATGCTTTGGGGGGGGGGGGCGGTGATGCTTCAGACCTGTCGATGTACCAATGCTGTCAAGGCCTCACGCCTGTATTTTCACCTCAGGTGATGAAGTGGGCCGAGGGCCGCATCTCCAGCGCCGGTGTCCAGGGCCTGAACAGCGACACATTCGCGCAGTTCCTTCGAGGATGCGGCATACCCAATGTGCGCGGACATGTTGCGCGCGCAAATCACTCAACGCGAGACAGCAGGCGGGGGCGGTGACTGTCACAACAAAGTTGGAATTGTGCACGTGAAAGGTGCTGCATGGCATGTGGCATCTCCAACCAATTGTGGTTCATCGACACACCCTGCAAATGCTCGCACTGCTTTGAAACGCAGGCCAAGACTGGCGGGTGCTGAGCTGAGGGCAGGCTGCATGCCGCTGATGTTGCTGTACGGATTCAGCTTTGGTGTGCAATAATATTATCGCCCCCAAACCATCAAAAGGGTAACAACGCAGCAAGTGTTGACAGATGTGCTGGAGCTGTGGCAGTGTGATGCAGCTGCGGCAGTCGGTGTGCAGTGCCTGCACAGCGTTTTTGTGATGGGAGGGGGGACAGCCGCGCGCTGTCGCATGACCTCGTGGATGTGCCCTGATCATCTCATATAAGAAGCATATTTGGCAGGCTGGTGACCAGCTGCGGTGTTGGCAGGTGCAGTGCAGGCGCAGGCCCACAACCGCCACTGGGGTTGGTGCAAAACATTGCGGTGGCTCCGGCGAGCCTCACAGCATTGGGCAGCGAAGCAAGACCACATGCATGCGGCTCACCTAGCACACCCGCATGGGAAGCTGCTGAGTTCAATACGGAAACTATGCTATGCAACAGACCGCCTGCCAGAAAGTGGGGTTGATGCTGCGCCAATGACTCATGACTTCGCGGCACTGCATCCTGCGGGATGCAGGGGGTGCAGGTCCACCTTCGGGGCGGGCGCGTGCGGGTGCTCAACAAGGGGGAGATGTCTGCAATGCAATCATTCATCCAAACACTTTCCAACCCAAACCCCATCTCAAATCACGAAGTGCTGGCAAGATGCGGTCCACGCTGATCATCGTGATCGCCGTCGCGAGCATGCTGGCGGTGGCCTCAGTCGCAGACGGTGCGCGGTTGGCCGTACATGGCGATTCGTACCCGTCAATAGTCACCCGATGCGAGTTTCGGCCCCGCTGAGCGGTGCTCGCGCGCCGTGCAGTGGTTGATCTCGGCAGCAGCTGGGTGACTGGCTACTGACCCGAATTGGTAGTTTGGGGGTTCAAGAGGTCTGCTGCAAGCTGGCTGGAGGCAGGCTGCAAGCGGCAGTCTGAGTTGGTCTTGGGCCGGCAACAGCCGTCTTCCAGCGCGCAGTCCCAACTGTCACTACCTACCCACCTCCCGCAGCTCACAGCACACTTTGGCCCCGGTTCCCGGCTGAACCACCTGTGCGCGCGTCACACGGTTGTGACCTCCACCTTTTCCAGGTCGCGAGCTGCTTCAGAGCCCCGCCTACAAGCGGTGCGTTGGGTCCTTCAACCAGGCCGGCGCGGAGGCCGGCCTCAGGAAGCGCGTGCCCTCGTGCGTCAACTTCAACCTGCAGAAGTGCTGCGCCGAGGTGGGTAGTTTGTTGATGGGGGTAGCATCTGTCCCGTTGGGACGCCTGCCAAGCCACGTGCTGGACCTTCCGAAAGCGCCTGTTCAAGGTCATAATGATTACATGGCGCCGCGATGCACGCAGGCTGTGTGGGCGTTGAAAGCTTTGCCCGGACGCGTCCAGGAGCGTCGCGCCCTGGCACAGCAACCCCCGCCAGGGGCGCGGGCCCTGGCAACACACCACCACTCACCTGTCTTGCCCAATGTTCCGAACACGATGAAACCGCAGACCAAGGCCACCCTGAACGGCGGCAACTTCCAGGGCTGCCTTTGCGACAAGGAGGTGGGGTGCGGTCCGCGGAGGGTCAATCCTCAGTTGACCCTCTGAGTGAGCATAACTATACATAAATTTGGTTGATTTTCTGGATTTCTGCTTGGAGCTGCACACTGGTGATGACGTCAAGCAGCCAATTAGATGCCCGCTTGGCTCTGACCTTGCAGCCAGATAATGGTGCTATGCCAACACCACAGCACTGATGTCGCACCCCTCACCCGCCCAAACTCCAACCTGCAGGTGTCCTCCTTCATTGAGGGCCGCCTCTCCAAGGCCGGCATCGCGGGGCTCAATGCCAACACCTTCAGCGTATTCCTAAAGACCTGCGGCATCCCCAACGTGCGCACACGCATCGCCAAGCAGGGGCACAGGCCATTAACACGCAGGGCTGTGTGGGGCCTCCCCTTGTATTTCACGGCTGGTGCGGGGCGAACGGGTGCGTTCGCACAATGTTCGACAGTTAGTAACTCGACTGACGTCACCACAACCCGGCTGCCCATGCGTCACCCTCTGCAATACGCAGGCCAAGACGGGCGGCTGCTGAATCTGAGCCACGAGCTGGCCATTGCTGTGTGATCTGCTATGGATATTGTGCTGATGTGAATATCATGCCATGCAAACCCAGGTTATGTGTTGTTGAATGGACGGGTTGCCATTTATGCACCTGTTACTGTTGTGTGAGAGAGTAACGCCCGCATGTCTCAGCGGGGTCGTGCAGCGGCGCTGATTCTGTGCGCTGTCAACACACATGTAAGTAGTCGGATGCACAAGCAAAGGTTTTGGGTCGATGCAAGCCGCGGGATGGGACACTGCCTTCATGGGTGAGCATGCAGCAGGGGGCTGTTTGCGCGTGCAGGCAGTCAGTCATGAAGTGAGTCCCTTGTGGGTGAGTTTGATGAGGTCATATGATGCGCCCCACGACCGCGGGCCCGAATTGAGAGTACTCGTTCGGCGTGATCATCTGGTGCATCGCCACCCGCGACAGCACCGCGCCCCCCATCCACGCCGCGTGCTTGCGAGCATCTGGCGGCATGTAGTTGGGCAGCGGCATCAGCGCAAAGCCCGCGCTGGGCGGCCCCACCAGCGGCAACTCAGCCATTAGCCGCTCTTGCAGCCCCGGGAACGGCGAAATCATGTTGCGCGCATGGCTGAGCTCACCAGGCGGCCGTGGGGTACGTCACCATGTAGAGATTTTCGCGTCAGTCGCCCATGCTGTGATCTTGGTTGACTGGCCAAAGTCTCAACTGGCAAATAGCATTTACAAGAAATGATTCCAAAGGGCCTGTCAAAAGGGGCAAACTCCTCAAATCGCAACCAAATTCGTTTTGATTTCAGCGTTTTGCGGTGGAGCGGTTCTTCACGGATCGTTTTATATGCACTGCTCTGTCAACGTGCTCGCTGCCTGGCTTCCCCACCATAGAAATACTTCTGAGCCGTTCTGGCGGGACATTTGCAAGTTAGAGCACATGAATGCCAATGCTGATTCGGCCTCTGATCAAGGCGGAAGCGTGGCGAGTGCTGGGAAGCTAGGAATGATCATTCTCGCCAAACGAGGACGCGGGCTGCTGGGAGGGCTGGTTGGCGTTCATGTCGAGGAGGGAGCGTGATTTAGCGCAGAAGGCGGCTTTGGGGTGCGTAGTGGGCGAATGATGGTTTTTAATTGTGCGTTGTTGGTCGCGGCTGCTTGAAGGCCTGAAGGGCCCTACATATGAGGGGCTTGGGTTTCATTTCTTTTTGAAATGCCTGTTCATCTTCAACCCCTATCGATATGAATGGGTCCATCTGATATGCGGGTTATCGGAGTTGTGATCGATATCACGCTGGTGGATTGCGGTTATCGCTTTGGCAAAATCTTGCTCCGCGATTTGCCCGCGATAAGAGCGATAAGAGACCCTTTGGAATCAGGCCCAGAGTATCAAAAACAGATATGAAACAAGAATTTGTGCAGGGCCCTTTTCTCAGGCGTAATTCGGACAGCAAAGAAATAGTTTTGCCCGGTGAGCGAAAGCACCTGGTGGCTATGGTACTGTGTGCAATCAAAAGAAATGCTGAAGTGTTTCGCGTGGATGAGATGAATGGGTTCTAGGCCGCGCCAACGGCTGGTGGTGTGGTGCAGGCAGGCTCACCGCGAACAAACCAGGGGGCACTCACAGACCCTTCTAGGAGTCCCCGCGTCGGTACACATGGTAAATTATCTCTGTGCTTACCATAACACACCGTTGCCTATGATAGCCATATTCCCACCTTGACCGCACTCCAGCCGACTGCCCTGTACTCGCCCATCTTTGCCAAGAAGGTGCGTCGCCGGCTAGATCAGATATACGCAGAGTCCTGGAAGTGTCAATATTGGCACGCCGCGGCCCAACGAGGAGCGGAGCTCGGTTTCAGTGGCTTGCACCTCCAGGCTTCGCCACGCTGTGCACAGCTTTGGCCGTTCCGGCGAGTGGTAACACGGCATACGACTAAACGACGGCACAGTCTCAGCGCTGAGCCCCCTGGAAGCTTTGAGCAGCTCGTCTGGGGCTTCTCGACCAACCCTGTCCATTTTTCACGGTGCAGCCTGTCTGCGAAGGAGGCTGCGCGCTCAGGAGTGCTTCCATCGCTACCAGGTAAGGCCATAGACTGGGTCCTGGATATCGGCGCGGTGCTGGCGCGAAGCACTGGGCTTGGTTGGCATGCGTCTCCCATCTCCTTTGATGGCTGCTCCCTGCTGCAGGGGGGCCTCAAGCAGCAACATCCTGTCCCATCAGCCATAGTGGCAGTGTTGCGCACGCCTTGGCCGTCTCATCCTAGACCACTGCAGTCTCTCCTGCAGGACGCGATGGCAAACAGTGTTGAACAGGCGATCGAAGGAGTTCAACAGGAGATCGCAAAAGTGAATCAGGTTGTTGTTGAAAAGGAGGGTGTACTCAAAGATGTGCAGGAACCCCACGAGCGTATGCTCGTGCAGCAGCAGCTGGTAGCACTGCGGCAGGAGCTGGTAGCACTGCGGCAGGAGCTGGCAGCACTGCGGCAGAAAGAGTTGCTGGCCATGGAACAGCAGCCAGGTGTGTCTTGGTTGTGCACATGGCACATGCAGGTCGCATGACACGCTGAGCCTACAACTTGTTACGCATGACCCATCTGCATCCACATGTTTTTTCAACAGCCGATTGAGCAGCACAGGAGTTGCGCAATGTCAGCTGCCAAGGTCACATCAGGCCTGCATTTCTTCCCGCCTTGCAACACATCCCACTGCATGGAGCTCGCGCCCACCATGTGGCCGCCGGCTTTCGGGAGGGTGGGGTTCTGCCTGTCTCGGCATTTGCTACCAGGCGCCACGGAGCTGGAGCTCTGCTACATTTGGCATGTGCAGCAGCTGGTTTAGAACCATGTTGCATACTTTACATCTGTGTCAACCTTGCCTCGTCCTCTGCAAAGGAAAGCCCATGACACCACTATTCACGTGGTTCTGCTCCCCCCCCCTCCTCGCACCTCCCGTGCCCTGCGCATATGCTGCGTACCACTACCTGCTGGCTCCTCGACGGTTCTCATGCGATGCCTTGTGCCGCCAACCATTCTGTTCTTTGCTGTTCTCCAGGCGCACAAGCGTCTGCGTCAGGTGCGCTTTGTGTGCATCTTCCAGTCCACATCACCTACCGGCTGTGCCGTGGGCTTCATGGGGTTGGCCACAGCAAACGCCGCTGGCCTTGGTGGAGGGAGACAATGTTCAGTGCTCAGCCACGTTCGAACTCATGGCCAACATTGCGTGCCCTACACCACCTGCTGGCTTCCCTCCCCGCATTTTTCTGGCGTCACCGGCAATTGCCACACCCCTTGTCCCTCATGTCTGTGACGCTGGAGCAGCAGCAGCAGCAGGTGAGGCATGCAGCCTGCGATCCACGCCAGTGGATGGGGTTTGCGCCTTGTGGACACAGCACATGTTGCTGGCTGGGTGGGAGGGGTTCGTTTGTTCCAGTTAGTTCACAGCACCCACCTATACGCAACGCTTTGCTCTCGCCCTCTTGCTGTCGCCTGCAGCCTGCCTGTCCAGTGAGTTTCTCACGGAGTGGGCCGAGCAGCTGATCTGCCTGGAGGAGAAGGACATGTGCTTGCGCCTGCCAATGGGTCTGGAGCGGGCTCTGCCAGCACCGCTCCGCAAGAGCCTGTATGTGAGGACCTGCTACAGGCAGCTGTTCGACCTGATGCAGCAGCGTTGCAGCCAGGCTGCAGAGCCGCTGGCTTTCATCATCACAGGCACGCCAGGCGTTGGCAAGAGCGCAGCTGCACTGTATTTTATACAGCAGCTCAGCAAACAGCAGCAGCTCGTGTGAGACGAGCGTCAGGGCAACGAGGGGAGAGTGCTTCTCCAATTTGACTTCCGGGGCGGCGCGGTCAAGGCTGCACAAGCCGTGTCGTTGCCTCCTTCTGGAAGTGAGTTGAGAAATGAAATGGTATGGGGCAAATTACACATGTGCACATTATTCTGGTCCCCACGTGTCACATGAGCACCAGCACACCCACAGCAACCATGTGCATGCGGTGACAGGTCCATCAGTGCTGCCTTGCAGAGCGTGCGGCAGGGTAAGTCATGCGCCTAAAATCCACGTCCCTCATTTCCCCCCCTCAGCTGATGGTCGCAACATCTGGCGCATCATCGACGGGCCACCACCACCCGGCCTCGAGTTCGGTGGCGAGTACACGACGGTGGTGCTCTCCTCGCCAAACCACTGCAACTTCAATACGTTTTTGAAGGGCAGGTGGGTCCTTCAGTTGCTATATCATCTGGGACCCTGGTAGTGGCTGCCAGCCACGCGGCAACTGCGCGAAGTTGTGGGTACCTGCTCTGCAATTCGCACATGCATACTGCAGCTTCATCTCTGCCCATGTGCACAAGTGGGGCTATGTCAGTCCATACATACCCAAATGCCTTCTGCGCCGTTCACAGCGGCTCCCAAGACCCACTCTACATGCCCGTGTGGAGCTTGGCGGAGTTGGAGGCCTGCAGGGCGCGCCTGTACCCACGAATTTCCCCGGAAGCCATGCTCACGAGCTTCACATGGTTTGGCGGCAGCGTCAGGCGTGTTCTGGCGGTGCCCACAGACCAGCCCGAGATAAGGCTCAAGGAGAGAGTGAGGGCGAAGAGCGTGTCCGAGCTTGTGAGGGCCATGAGCGATCCCGCGATGTACCAAGCTGACTTCAGCCATACCCTGGGCCACTTCAAGGTGTGTCATCACATCTGCTGGGGCATGCTTGCTGGTGTCTGGACTTAATGTGTGCCTATCACCGTGTTCCTTGCTTTTGAAACGAAGCGAAATAATTCAGTTGTTTGTCGCACCATCGACGCTGCAGGTGACCCCGGACTTTCGGGTTCGCTATGCGTGGTTCGCCTCGCCCCACGCTGCCCGGCTGGTGCTGGAGGCCCTAGAGGCCGAGAAGCACAGTGACCTGCGGGACTTCCTGGTGGCTTCTGGCAGCCACCCTCCCATGGCAAGCCTGAGGGGCGTGCTGTTTGAGCAGTACAGCCACAACGTCGTTTTGCAGGGCGGCATCTCCTGCGCCATGCGCCAGCTGCGCCCGTCTCGCAGGCGCCCTAACCGCACAGATACAACAGAGTACGATGAGGCCAAGCTCCTGCTTGAAGTGGACAACGAGCCAGAATCCCACCATGAGGTCGTGGATGGTGGTCAGCAGCAGCAGCAGCAGGCGCAGCTTAGTGGCGGCCCCACGTCCGGCATGCAGGTGGGTGCTTTCCTGTGAACTCTCATCACATGCGGTTGCAAATCATCCGCCCTCCCCTTGCGTCACCTACGGGTTGTGCTGCAACTGCCACTACTGGTCAGCTCCTGGCAACCGAACTGAATGAAATGCGCTAGTGCCAGGCACACCCTTGTCCCCCCCTGTGGGCCGGCTAGGTGCATATTTGTTGCGTTGCCTAGTTGTCGGAGTTCGCTCCAGCATTAGAGCGCTGGTCAAACGCTAGGATACTCCAATTTATCACCACATTAGCGGGGCGCCAGCTACTCATTATGGCCGTGAACAGGCGCCTGCGAAAGGTCCAGCGTGTGGCTTGGGATGTGTGTGTGTGTGCGTACGGGGCCTGCTGGTGATCTGTCGGCGCCCACAGACGCTGAGGCCAGGGCCCATACGTGGGCATGGTGTGTGTTACTGGGTTGCTGGGTGTCTACTGTGGCCACCTGGCACCGCCAGCAGACCCATGGCCTGTATCACAAGGGAGGCTCACCCTTCCTGCCATCCTAGTACATGTCTGCAGATGCTCATGAATACAACAACACAATAACAACTTCAATACACCGCTTTGCCATTCCGCCATCATCCGATGGTGGCGGGCAGCGATGCCTAAATGGCAGAGGACAGTGACACCACCTTCATAATACAATGCCTGTGCTGACATACATCTCCAAGCTGCTCGTTCATTTGCGGGTTCTGCACACCTGTCCCCATCATTTGCAGACGCATGAGCAGCAGCAGTGGCAGCAGCAGCAGCAGCAGCAGCAGCAGCAGCAGCAGCAGCAGCAGCAGGAGCAACTGCAGGACAGGCAGCGACAGCTACACGGGGTGCAGGAGCAGCAGGAGGAGCAGCTGCTGGAGCCACCGCAGAAGCAGCAGCGGCAGCACGAGCAGCAGGAACAGGAGCAGCAACAGACGCAGCAGCAGGAGCAGGAGCAGCAGCAGCAGCAGCAGCAGCAGGCACTGGTTGAGCAGCAGGTGCTGCGATCGAGCGCCGCGAGCAGCAAATACACTCTTCCGCGCGGCGTGACGTTGCAGTGGGATGGCCCCTGTCTGCAGAGTGCGGGTGCATTGAGCCTCCAACAGAATGTGTACATCAGGCCACGCACCAGCAACAACGCTGCGTGGGACGCGGTGCTGTGCTGCGACCAGCCCCTTATCCTCCATTTCACAGTCAGCCTGCAGCACGGTATCCAAGCTCAGCCAGTGCTGGACTTGCTCGCACGGCTGGGCCCGGAGCGCAGCAAGGCGGCGCGGCTGGTGTTCGTGGTGCCGCCAGAGAAGTTTGACAGCTTTGCATGGCAGCCTTGACTGACCAAGCGGGCTGGTGGTGAGCAGAAGCGGGTGCCTGCACAACTGCAGTCACTAGGGCAGTGGGTAATGGCGCTGGACGTACAGCCCCGCAGCAACCGCAGCAGCAACGATGGCGTCCAAGCACCCGCGACTGCACCATGAGCGGGCTGCGGTGGGGACATCCGTGGCAGCTGGTGCTCACTCAGCTGACTCACATTTTGGACAAGGGCACGGTGGGTTGCTGTGGTGCCAAGCTCCCACATGTGAAGGTTTGAAGATGTAGGGCTGCAGTATTGCATGGTCACAGCGCTTGGTGCAGGGTACCAGCCTTGTCCTATCCGAGGCATTGGCAACTCGCGATAAAGCCAGCTGTGTTGGTGCAGTGGTGCAGAATGTGCGCATTATGGGGGCTTTGGCCTTCCTCACGTTGTCGTGCATGCCGGCCAAGCCTCCTGCTGAAGCCGTGCCGCCAATTTTGACCGATTGGTTGGTAGGGTGTTTACAGCGACACCCTACCTTGCGCTTGCCCGTTGCAACCTTAACGCCCAGGTGCTTGCCGTGGCCTGCGCAGCGCTTCACCTGCCCACATTCTATGCCTGGGTGTGGTCTTGGGCCGGCAACAGCCGTCTTTCAGCGCGCAGTCCCAACTGTCACTACCTACCCACCTCCCACAGCTCACAGCACTCTTTGCCCCCGGTTCTTGGCTGAAACACCCGTGCGCGCGTCACACCCTGGTAACCCAAACTCTCCAGGTCGCGAGCTGCTCCAGAGCCCTGCCTACAAGCGGTGCGTTGGGTCCTTCAACCAGGCCGGCGCGGAGGCCGGCCTCAGGAAGCGCGTGCCCTCCTGCGTCAACTTCAACCTGCAGAAGTGCTGCGCGGAGGTGGGTAGTTTGTTGATGGGGGGTTAGCGTCTGTCCCGCTGGGACACCTGCCAAGCCACGCGCTGGACCTTCCGCAAGCGCCTGTTCATGGCCACCATGACTAGCTGGCGCCCCGCAGCACGCTGGCTGTGTGGGCGTTGAAGCTTGCCCGGACGCGTCCAGGAGCGTCGCGCCCTGGCACAGCCCCCGCCAGGGGCGCGAGCCCTGGCAACACACCACCACTCACCTGTCTTGCCCAGTATTACTGATTACATCGCACACGATCAAACCGCAGACCAAGGCCACCCTGAACGGCGGCAACTTCCAGGGCTGCCTTTGCGATAAGGAGGTGGGGTGCGGTCTGCGGAGGGTCAATCCTGAGTTGACGCTCTGAGTGAGCATAATAATTCTGCTTGGAGCTGCACACTGGTGAGGACGCCAAGCAGCCAATTAGACGCCCGCTTGGCTCTGACCTTGCAGCCAAAACTTTGTGCTTTGCCAAGACCACAGCACTGATGTCGTACCCCTCGCCCGCCCAAACCCCAACCTGCAGGTGTCCACCTTCCTCGAGGGCCGCCTCTCCAAGGCCGGCATCGCAGGGCTCAACGCCAACACCTTCAGCGTGTTCCTGAAGACCTGCGGCATCCCCAACGTGCGCACACGCATCGCCAAGCCGGGGCACAGGCCATTAACACGCAGGGCTGTGTGGGGCCTTCCCTTGTATTTCACTCATCTGACGTCACCACAACTCGGCTGCCCACGCGTCACCCTCTGCAATACGCAGGCCAAGACAGGCGGCTGCTGAATCTGAGCCACGAGCTGGCCATTTTTGCGTGATCTGTCATGGATTTTGTGCTGTTGTGAATATCATGCCATGCATACCCAGGTTATGTGTGGTTGAATGTACAGGTTGCCATTTATGCACCTGTTACTGTTGTGTGAGCGAGTAATGCCCGCATGTCTCAGCGGGTTTGTGCAGCGGCGCTGATTCTGTGCGCTGTCAACACACATGTAAGTAGTCGGATGCACAAGCAAAGGTTTTGGGTCGATGCAAGCCGCGGGATGGGACACTGCCTTCATGGGTGAGCATGCAGCAGGGGGCTGTTTGCGCGTGCAGGCAGTCAGTCATGAAGTGAGTCCCTTGTGGGTGAGTTTGATGAGCTTGAGGTCATATGATGCGCCCCACGACCGCGGGCCCGAATTCAGAGTACTCGTTCGGCGTGATCATCTGGTGCATCGCCACCCGCGACAGCACCGCGCCCCCCATCCACGCCGCGTGCTTGCGAGCATCTGGCGGCATGTAGTTGGGCAGCGGCATCAGCGCGAAGCCCGCGCTAGGCGGCCCCACCAGCGGCAGCTCAGCCATCAGCCGCTCCCGCAGCCCCGGGATCGCCCCCGTGCCGCCCGTCACCAGCACGCTCTCCCACACCGCGCGCCGGCTGGGCGCCTCCATGAGCGCGGCGACCACGTCGCAGCAGGCGTCCGCGAGGGTCGGCGCCGCCAGGCCCGCGGACGTCGGCCGCACGAGCGCCTCACCCAGCCGGTAGCCCTCGTCGCCAGCCAGGGTGATGGTCTGGCCGTCGGGCAGCGTGAAGCTGCGCCGCGCGCGCCGCCACGCCTCCTCGTGCTGAGCGATGTTGGCCTGCTGCTGCTTGTCCGCCGCCCCGTGCGCCGACGCCGCCTCGCCGCCGGCGGCGCGCACGGGGTCGCCTGACGTGATCGCCGCAAAGTCCTCAGCGGTCGCTGCGGCGCAGGCGATCTGCTCCTTGAGCGCCCGCAGCTGCTCCGGCGGCAGGTTTGCCGTCGCAGCACCGCGGGCGCCGCCGCCGCGCGCGAGCAGCTGCGCGGTGTAGGCGGTCAGCTCCTCGCCGGCCCACGGCAGCTGCGCGGCGCCTGCCACGTGCGTGGCGCCCTCCGCGACCGCCGCGACGACGGCCTTGCCGTGGCCGATGTCCACTGTGAGCCCGACCTGCTTGTTGCACGCGTACAGCGCGCACGCCGCCGCATCGCACACAAACAGCCCCCTCACGTTGAATGACTCGAAGGCCATCTGCACGACCGCCTCGCGCTCGGAGCGCGACGTCAGCACGGGCTCCACGATGACGAGGCAGTCCTCCCTGCCATACCGCCAGCGCATGCGCTCAAACAGCACGTGGTGCAGCAGCGACTCGAACCGCTGCACGTCCACGATGCGGCCCCGCCGCACCGCCTCGCCGCGCGGCCACGGCGCGCCGCCCGGCGCGGTGGCCGCGTCTGGGTGTGCCGGGGAGCGGAGCTCCACTAAGCTGGGGGTGATGCATGAGAGGGCGTTCTCGCTGGGCACGTCGCGCGCGCGGCCGGCCTTGATGGTGTCGCTGCCATAGTCCACCACCACGGTCTTGCCCAGCTTCTCTGCGTCCGTGGCCATGGCCCCCGCTGCTCGTGCTGCTGCTGCCGCCGCCGCTTCTTCTGCAGGCCACTGCTGCTGCTGCTGCTGCTGTTGCTGCTGCGGCTGGTACTTCTGCTGCTGCAGCTACTCCTGCTGCTGCTACTGCTGCTGCTGCTGCTGCTGATGCTGCCGCTCTCGGTCCTTTCGGGCTTTGCGTGTAGCGTTGCTGACGGCGTTGGCGACTGCGGCCGATTGCGCAAATGAAGCTGCTGTGGCTGCAACACTGTGTTACGCGACCACAGCGTAGCGCCTTCCCAATACCTCGCGGCTGTCTGCAACTGTGGCTGCTTTGCAGTGCGTGTGCGCCCGGCGGCCCCACAGGCAATCGTCGGCGCTCTGGTGCCGCGTGCCGAGAGGCAGCAGCAGCACTAAGCGTGCATGTGTGCACAGGGTAGTGTGCGCTGTCGCCTTGCTTGGAGCGCTGTTCCCACACCCACGCCTATAATTGTGATCTCGCAGTGTGGTCCGCTACTATACAGCGGCGAGCTGCTGCTGCCAGATCTGGATCGAGCCGTCGCGTTGAACGAATTGTTATGTCCAGGATATATGAGATCCCGCTTTGCATGCGTTGTACACAAAGCTTCGTGGTTCGACCTTGAAGCAGTCACTTGCATCCACTGAGCTTGCATCACTCCTGCTGTACAGAGACGACGTGGCCGCGAACAAACCCCTAAAGCGAGACGATTGCAGGGTATGTAGATACACGTCCATCACAACTGCACACGGCTGTACCTGATCCAAAACGCAGATCTCCGCGTGGGTGTTTTTCCCGCCTTGCGATCTGATCTTTTGTACTCTGTGCGCTGCACGTTCAGAAGTCGTGCATACAGCAACAATTTTGCTTCAGGTTACGCAGCATAAACTGGTCATGCAGCTCAGGCAGGGAGGAGTCTCGGCGATGCCGCAGCTTGGGGCCGGGCATCGCGCCCCGCAGCTGGCTTGCCGCCACAAATGGATAAGCAGGACCTCAAGCTCTATTATACGCCGTCAGGGCCCCTCCGATGAGCTGTGGCTCCCGCCAAGCGCTGCGAGGGACGTCCGGCGTGGGGCAGGCGCTGGGCAGCTTTTCAACCACGCAAGCATCAAAGTGAGTTGAGATATATGATCAGTGGCTACACGGGTGGGGTGGTGGTGAGCTGCGGGCGCTGCGTGACCCGCGATCGTGCGTTGCATCACGGCTGTCGCTGGACGCATTTGTCCCTCGGGCCCAGCTAATTGCTGCCCAGGGGCCCTCCAACATCGTGCTGCTCTCACCGGCGTCTTGCCGTGGCAACCTGCTACTATGCGGCCTTGCACGCAGGTAATTGGCGTCGGCGGTGGAGGTTCAAACGCAGTGAACAGGTGCGTGTTGCCCATTGTGCTGGCGCAATCCAGGGAGACCACTTCAAGGTCACAGCAGGGGCAGCATCAGACTCGCTGTTTTCGAGTTTTGCTTTCGCTACTCACTGTGACTAGTGCTCCTGCTGGCCTGCACCCAACAAGACTTCGCATGTGTGGTGTTTGCCCCGCTCATGGCACACCCACAGGATGATGCAGGGAAGCATGAACGGCGTCGAGTTCTGGGTCACCAACACAGACGCGCAGGTTAGGAAATGAGTAGTCATTGGGTAGGACGGGTCGAAACATCGTAGTCCAAGTGAAGTCAGCGAGCGTGGGCGGTGCAACACGCTCTTGTCACGGGCTGTGATAAGCGGTGCAGTCAAGCAACCGGGTGCTACCACTGTCGCCTGCAGGCGCTGGCGGCCTCCCCAGTGGATGCGAACAAGAGGATCCAGATAGGCAGCCAGCTCACCCGTGGGCTCGGAGCGGGCGGTAACCCCGACATCGGCCTGGTGGGTTGGGCCGGGGTGCGGCAGTCCTGCGCGCTGGAGCTTGTGGTTGGGATGAAGGGCCAGGAGCGGGGCAATGACGCTGTACCCGGCAATAAACGAGGTCGCAGGATGCAAGGAAGAATCCTGGGGCGGTGCCGCGCTGTCTGCATGTTGTCGATGTAGGGCTTGGTCGTGGTGTCTCTTCTCCTGGCACGACTGATGGCTCATCCAACCTGCCGTCTGTGTTTTGCAGAAAGCGGCAAACGAGAGCCGCACCGAGCTGGAGGCGGCACTGTCCGGGGCAGACATGGTCTTTGTGACGGTGAGGCGGGCGCAGCACGGGCTCTTGCGGCTCACACAGCTGTTGGAGCGCGTTGGCCGAGTCCCTCTCGTGCCAGGGCTGCAGCACACCAGCGGGCGCAGGGACTGAATTGTTGTTTCCTGTCTGCCACCTCACCCCACCCAGGCAGGCATGGGCGGTGGCACTGGCAGCGGAGCAGCGCCCGTGGTGGCGGCAGCGGCACGCGCACAGGGCATCCTCACCGTCGGGTGGGTGCCAGCTGGCTGCCTGAATCGGTAGCATTGCGTGGCTGTCCCGCATTCTGTTGGAAGGAGCCGTTTCGAACACTGTCAATGTCACAGGGGCTGTGCTGCTTCAGATCGCAACAGAGTCCCAAATGCGGCCACGAGCCCACCATTTGGGTGTGTCCCGCGGCCCCGCCCTCTTCCCCTCCTCGCGCAGCATCGTGACGATCCCCTTCACGTTTGAAGGGCGGCAGCGCCTCAACCAGGCGCGCGAGGCGCTCAGCAATCTGCAGGCCGCGGTGGACACGCTCATCGTGATCCCCAATGACAGGCTGCTGCAGGGTGGGTGCCGGAGGAGGAAGGGGGGCGGGGGGCGCGCGGCGCGGCGGCGGGGCGGCGATGACGTGTGGGGGTATTGGGGAATGCGGGGACAGCACCGATCGCCTCGCTTCCCAAATGCCGACGCAGCATTGAGGCGTTTCTGCCCTGGTTCGGGGCCTAAGCAGCGGCCTCCTCACAGGACGCGTGCCCCGCTCTCACCCTGGCACGCCTGCGATGCACGCCCCCCCCCCCCC